GCTCTCGGGAGCTTGTGACTCCCTCCGGATTCAAAAAGACAGCCGCGTCCTCGGGTGCCAGCCCCTTTCTGCACGCGCGAGCCCCGTACCTCTGCACTTCACTTCTGCAGCTTCTCTGGGTCTCAGTGTGCCTTTCATTCCTTCTGGTTGTAGAATTTACAGTCAGCCAGGCTTCCTGTGGTTCTGGATGATGTCCGTATTGTTTTTCTGAGGTATTAATCAATTGTTGTGAGCGGCATTAATTTCCTGGTGTTTATCTCTGCCGCCATCTTAGTTTCTCCTGTACCAGTGATTTTTCAACCCATGATACACATGAGAATAAGCTTTGGGAGAAAACAGATCCTAAGGCCTCATCTTTGACCTACTGTTTCAGAATTTATGTGATAGGAAGCTCAGGCATTTAATTTTTATATATTTTATGAGAGATTTTGATGCAAAAGCAGGCTCAAGAACCACTAGCTAAGAGAATGCAAACCAATGTAGAAGACTAAAGCACTTAACAAGAGTCTGCTCAGGTAATAAAGCAGGGAGAGTAGGGCAGGAGGGTCCTGATCCTTGACGGGGTATTTGCAGCAGAAATTAGGTAGGACGTCATGTGAGATCTTTGGGAAATGACCTCCCTTATCCTCAGTGATGTTAATATCCTTGTGGAGAAACACTGGCCTAGAGGATAAAGCTTTTAATGACTGCAATCAAACACAGCCCATTTATTAATGATGGTTCTGTTTTCTCCTGCTTTGAGGAAAGTCATTTATTAACATAAATAAGACCCTGTACTTGCCTGTAACTATGATTATGCAAATTGCCACATTGCCAAATCAGAGCCTTTGGCCTGGACAGTTTGTTATTAATGAGAATTTTAAACTAAAGATGTTATACTGAATGTAGAACTATAAGCTTGGAAGCGTGTATATATGAGTTTGCTGGTTTCTCTTCTTTCTTTCTAGACGTCAGCATTGTCTGCTAAGTCCTGTGATAGTGACTCCCCATTCCCAGTGCACCCAGGAACTGCTGAGTGCTGTACCCAAGAGGGCCTGGAAAGGAAACTCTGTATGGCTGCCCTGAAGCACCAGCCACAGGAATTTCCTACCTACGTAGAGCCAAGTAATGATGAAATCTGTGAGGCATTCAGGAAAGATCCCAAGGAATTTGCTAACCAGTAAGTTGCTCTCATCAGAAGTAAAACTTCAAGGCATAAAATGTCAGAACTATAGTTAACCTAACCCCCTACCATATACACCTCTTCTACAGCAACCTGGATAAATTCCAATAACAAGAACTTGACTTTCATCCAAGACAGCTCATTGCTGTCACTGTTGACTACTGTCAATGTCTTCGTAGACAGAGAGAAAAACCACCATTCCCCAGCTCCCACCCAATTCGTCCTATCTAGTACTTGAAGCAGAACTACTTGGATCCCCTGTCTTCATGACAGGTTTTCAAATATTTGACAGTAGCTATAGTGTTTCCCCTTAAACTAGTGATCGCTATATACTCCTTCTGATAAAATGTTATTGCTATGCACATTTTTAATACTTAATTTCCACTAAAGCATAAGAAATAAACAGCTTTATTCTTTACATTCCAAGAAGCAGTTGTGAATAGGATGCATGTTGCACTACATAACAGAACATATTACTCTGACCCTCTCATTGCTTAACATTACTAAAGAGCCAGATTATATGGAGATTCTTTAAATTCATCTTGGAAGATCATAAAAATGAACACAAATGGTGAAAATTGATTATAATGAAAAAAATATATTTACTAAAAAATAATCAAAACCAATGGCATTCAAATGGGATTTAAAGGCATGAAGTTCAGGTCACAGTTTTATAAAAATTGGCTGGCTTGCCCATTCCTGTAAATTTTCAAAGTCTCTTTCAGGACCATAGGGTCTTATGGTCCTAAAAGTTAAAAAGATTTCAATAAATAAGTAAGCCTACACATAGCAATTTTCTGGGAGCGTAAACAGAGATAGATCATGAAAGGTAAAATTGCATTTAATTAATACAACTAACAATAAACATCTACCATTGGCCATGCACCTGTAGATACTAAGTGAATAAAGGGACAAATGGACCCTCCTCTCAAGCAATCTACATGGAAATCTAGACAATAATATTTTTATTTAATGAAAATATTGATTGAAAGTGATTGGTATTATAACCCTTTCTGTACATCCTTAATGCTTTTTAGATATTAAAACTATAACTTAACATGTATTTTCTCTCCATAAAATATGTATGAAAAAGTAGATTTTGTTTCCCACAATGGTTTGACCTATGCTCTTTCCCCTTCTCCCTGCCTCCCCACAGATTTATGTATGAATATTCCATTAATTATGGACAAGCTCCTCTGCCACTATTAGTCAGTTATACCAAGAGTTATCTCTCTATGGTAGGGTCCTGCTGTACCTCATCAAGCCCCACCGTATGCTTTTTGAAAGAGGTAAGTGCCATTTATTACATAGTTATGCTCTTTCTCGTTTCTTCTATTAATGCTATTCCTTTTTAAGATGATAGAAATTCAGATTCTGGGATCATAAAAGTCCCTAAGAGGCCTCTTTTGCATTTTGTTCATTAGAAAATAAGACATACCATCACTTCTGGAAAAGAAATATCAATAAGTTTCTTTGATCAGAATTCAGTTTTGTGGTCATCCAAAAAAAGTCATGATATTCAGAGTCTCTTTTTTCATTCCTGCACATTACTGTGAATGGATCTTAACTGCCTAAAGGGACTCTCTTATCTCTTTTCTAGAGGCTCCAGATTAAACATTTATCGCTTCTCACCATTATGTCAAATAGAATCTGTTCACAATATGCTGCTTATGAGAAGGAGAAATCAAGGCTCAGGTAAGGATTAAGCATCAGTATGTGCAGCTGTTTGATTCTGCACTATCTATCCACAATATTAGGATTCCCTAAGAAAGTGTTTTTGTTAGAAGACATTGATTATAGTCTTACGCTCCAATAGTTCTCAAATGTATACCCAGTTCTTTTTTGACTACACAGAATATGAACAATAAGAAACAAGGCTGCCGTAACCGGTTTGGCCCAGTGGCTAGAGTGTCGGCCTGCGGACTGAAGGGTCCCGGGTTTGATTCCTGTCAAGAGCATGTACCTTGGTTGCGGGCACATCTCCAGTAGGGAGTGTGTAGGAGGCAGCTGATCGATGTTTCTCTCTCATCGATGTTTCTAACTCTCTATCTCTCACCCTTCCTCTCTGTAAAAAATCAATAAAATATATTTTAAAAAAAGAAAGAAATAAGGCTATGTTGTAAAACATGAGATTTGCTCTTAATCAACCTTTTCCATATACTCATTAGGGAAAACCAGGTGACCATTAGAAATTATTTCCTCCATGTTCATATTAGCATTACAAATCTATATATATAAAAGTCTAAGCAACCGAACAACGGGTTGACCGGTCGAATGGTCACTATGGTGTGCACTGACCACCAGGAGGCAGATGCTTAATGCAGGAGCTGCCTCCTGGTGGTCAATGCACTCCCACAGCCAACCTCCTGTGGCTGGCCAACCTCCAGCAGTCCCTCCCCTCTGCCAGCCAGCCCTGATCAGCCCCAATCAGGACCTAGTGAGACAGCCCCAATCGGCCCTGATTGCAGGCCTGGCTGAGGGACACCACCTGTGCACGAATTTGTGCACCAGGCATTTGGTAAAAATATAAGTTACAAATATAAAGGCAAAAATAAAATCACCTGTTATTTGCTTTGTCCATTTTTGTCTTGGGAGGAAACTTCTTGGATTCTTATTTGTTATATGAAGCTTTGTGCTGTCTAATATGTATCTCTTAAGTTTTGTGAATGTATGCCTATTTCTTAGCTACTCTATTTGTAATTCTCCTTTGATTTTTGTATGGCTGCTATTAACTCCATATTTTAATTTTGACACTTTTGATATTTATACTTCTTTCATATCTCCTCAGACATATAGATTTGCCAGCTTTATCTCATCTTTATAGCATTTACAGTCTCTTTAATTCCTTCTACTCTGATCCACAAACTTTTTTCCTTTAATGGCAATAAAATAATTTATTTTGTGTTGGCACCAGATCCTAAGCTTCCTTAGTGGGAATAGAAACTACTTTCATTAGTCCTTTAAAAATAATTTTCCATTAGAACTACTCAAATACTAAATGGCATTTTCTCTAGACCTTCACTTTGGTTTTCTTTTTACATTAAGATAGTATAGTTGGCAAGTAGAACATAGGAATCTATAATATAACTAGGGGCCCAGTGTACAAATTCGTGCACCTTGAAAGGAACTGTGGGCCATGCGCAAGGCTGCAGTGGGCATAGGGGTGGGTCTCGGCCCATCCTCTGCGACCCCACCTGGTCCCTCCTGCTGTGGCCCTGGTCCCCTGTCTCCTGGCAGCCCTGCTCCCACCGTTGCTCCCACACACTGATGATGCAGAGTGATTGGGACCAGTGCCAACAACAGGTGCAAGCAGGCCATCAGCAGGTGGGAGAGGCAGCTACTGCCCTGATTGCCCCTCAGAAGCAGGGGGAGGCGGAGAAGCCTCCAGGGGTGATCTGCTGATGGTGCCGAGCGATCGGGGCTGGTGCTGGGCGTCAGCAGTGGGTAAGAGCAGGGCCAGTGCTGGCAGTGTGAGTGCTGGGCAGGACTGTGGTGTGCAGGAGCAAAGAATTTTCAGTAACCACCAAATGATCGCCCCAATGACAGTGACTGGTGACCCACCTTGGTCTGGAGTCCTCACTCACCTGCTCCACTATCCCGCTATGGCTGATGCCTGCCATGTTCTGTGCTCTGCCACCTGCTGCCAATGCCCACCATGTTCTGTGCATGCCCCCTGGTGGTCAATGCATGTTAAAGCAACTGGCTGGTTGTTCAGTTGTTCTGCCATTCGGTCTATTTGAATATTACCCTTTTATTATATAAGAAAACACCTTTAAGATATACCTTCCTTAATCATTAATTTATACTTGCATTAGTGTCTAGGAAATTACTCCAAAGAAATAGCATTAAATGTGAACAAAAATTTAGCTGCAAATATTGCTATCCCCCTTTTTTTAAATATGAAAAAAGAGAGACTTTTTAAATGTCCCTGGACTCAAAAGCATACTTAAATCAGTTATAGTATATCCATCTCAGAGGAGGCCAATTTGTTGTAACTATTTATAATAATAAAAGTTTAATATGCTAATTAGACTGGACAGTTGAATGACCTTCTGGACAACCCCCTAGACAAAGCCAGAGCTGCTAGGAAAGCCCGGGTCCTGGGTGCCGAAGGGAAGCTTGGGTCCCAGGTGCCAGAGGAAAGCCAGTGCTGGAAGCCAGGGGAAGGAAGGCCTACTCTCACACAAATTTCATGCATCGGGCCTCTAGTATTATAATAGAACGAGTGACCCGGTGCACGGATTCATGCACATTCAAAAGAAATTAATTAGAACGTGGCCAGTGGGGCAGGACTGGGCAAGATGGGTAGGACACGCCCTGGAGCCAACCTCCCACAGTCCATCCCCGCCATCTGCGGAGTGAGCGGGGTTTCCTCCAGGCCCTGCGAGGAATAGGGCTCCCTCCTCTCTAGTTTCAGGGTGCATCACCCGAGAACCACCGCTGCCAAGTCACTGCAGTTCAGCAGCTCCTGTGTTGAGTGCCTGCCCCCTGGTGGTCAGTGCACATCATAGTCACTGGTCAGATGGTTGGACACTTAGTATATTAGTCTTTTATATATATAGATATTAATAAAAATTATAAACATTACTAAAAGAAATTGATGAAACAAAATAAATAGGAAGACATTCCATGCTCGCAGATTAGAAGAATTAATATTGTTAAAAATGTCCATACTATTCCAAAGCAATCTACAGAGTCAATGCAATTCCTACCAATATCCCAATAGTATTTTTTGGCAAAAATAGGGGGGGAAAGGGCATCCTAAATTCAAATGGAATCTCAAGGGGCTCCATATAGCCAAAACAATCTTGAAAATGTAGAACAAAGTTGAAGGCCTCATACTTTCTGATTTCAAAACATACTACAAAGCAACAATAATCAAGATGCAGTAGTACTTAGTATAAAAAGATATATAGACCAATGAAGCAATATAGAGAGCTTAGGAACAAACCCCTATGTATTCAGACAAATGATTTTTGACAAGGGAGCCAAGACTACACAGGGAAAAAGGAGTCTCTTCAAATAGTATTGGGGAAATTGCAAAAGAATGAAGTTGAAACCTTACCTTATACCATTTATTAAAATTAACTTAAAATGAATTAAAAACCTAAATATAAGACCTAAAACTGTAAAACTCCTAGGAGAAAGCATAGGGGAAAACTTCAGGACATCAGGTTTGGCAGTGATTTCTTGGAATTAACTCAAAGCAAAGGCAACAAAAGCGAAAATAGACAAAGGAGATTATATCAACCTAAAACTTCTGAGCAGTAATGAAAACAATCAACAGAGTGAAAAGGCAACCTACGGAATGGGAAAAAGTATTTGCAAATCACATACCTAACAAGGGTTTAATATCCAGTGTGCATTAAAAAACTGCTACAACTCAACCACAAAATACCAAATAACCTGATTAAAAGGAATTAGAGATTTCTCCAAAGGAGATATAAAAATGGCCAACTAGCATATGAAAAGATCTTCAACATCACTACTAATCACAAATCAAAACCACCCTGCCATTTCACACCCATTAGAATTGCCACTGCCAAAAGCATCCATGAGAATGTGAAGAAATTGGGATCCTTGTGCACTGTTAGCAGAAATGCAAAATGGTGCAGTCATTATGGAAAACAATGCAGTTTCCTCAAAAAAAATAATAGCATTACCGTATGACCCAGTAATCCCACTTCTGTAAACAGACTAGGCCAAAAGTAGGTTTGCAGTTTTTATTATGGAAAATATAATAATTAATCATCAATACAAGAATAAACTCTGTTTCATGTACTCATAACTGTAAACCTGCTTTTACCCCAACCTGTATATATTCCTAGGTATACAGAGCAGAATCTTAAGAGAGATTTACACGTCCACGTTCATGGCAGCATTATTCACAATTGCCAAGAGGCGAAAGCAACCCAATATCCATTGACAGGTGAATAGATAAAGAATGTGATATATACATACAATGGAATATTATGCTGCCTCAAAAACTCTAGTCGCCTGCCATTACATGAATAAAACTTGAGGACATTATACAAAGCAAAATAAGCCGTCACATACAAATACTGTATGATTCTAGTCATATGGAGTACCTAAAGTAGTCAAAATCATAAAAACAGAAAGTGAAAACATGGCTGCTAAGGAAGGAGTGCCAGAATCAGTGTTTAATGGATCTAGAGTTTCAGTTTTATAAGACAAGAAAATTCTAGAGATCTGTTACAACAATGTGAATTTACTTAACATTACTGGATTATACACTTAAAAATGAGTGAGAGGGTAGTCCAGCTGGTGTGGCTCAGTGGTTGAGCATTGAGCTATGAACCAGGAGGTCAAGGTTAGATTCCTGGTCAGGGCACACGCCCAGGTTTTGGGCTCAGTCCCCAGGAGGGTGTGTGTGGGAGGCAAACGATCAATGATTCTCCCTCATCACTGATGTTTCTCTATGAAATCAATTTGAATACGTATATATTATTATTATTATATATGTATAAATGGCCAATATAATATATTTATTATTATGTTTTTATCACAATAAAAATATTTAATTATATAGAACATATTCCTGATACATTAAGTGGAAAGATAAATTTATCAGCAGTATAGCATAATCCCTTATAAAATACGTAATTCCCTGTAAACCTTATAAAATATGTACGGGTTTCATGCCCTAACATCAACTGTATTAACACTGCGGTTTAGGCTATAAGTCTTCACTACTTTATTTCTACTGTAGTTTGTAAGTTGATTTATAAAAACATTTAAGAAGATTATGAGAGGCCCCCAAAACACCACATTGGTCTTAAATAGAGATATTAGTGCCTTCTTTATTGCCGTTTTATTTTTTTAAATCCTCACCCAAGGATATGACATGTTTTTATTGATTTTAGAGAGAAAGGAATGGAGAGACAGAGAGAGCAAGAGAAACATCTATGTGAGAGAGAGAGAGAGAGAGACATCAATCAGTTTCCTCCTCTATGTGCCCTGACTAACTGGAGATCAAACCCATAACCTAGGTATGTGCCCTGCCCAGGAATTGAGCCCACAACCTGTTGGTTTATGGGATAATGCTCCAACCAACTGAGCAACCTGGTCAGGGTTTAAAGGCACCCTTCAACTATGTAGATCTGGCCCAAAGAGAATGTGAGTACTGAAAATTTGAAAAAATCATTGGGGATGACTGAATTTTGAGTAGTAGCTTCGGCACATAGGCTCCATTGCAGAGCAGATGTGCCCCGTGCAGCTGCTAAGGATGAATTGTTGAAATTATGGTATTATTTGTCTAGTGTGTTTGCTTATAATGAAACCAAGGAAACTGAGATTTGGAGAAAGCTAACCGATTTTTTTTAACTGTCTAGCCATCTCATAAAATTAGCCCAAAAAGCACCTACTGCTAATCTGGAGGATGTTTTGCCACTCGCTGAAGATGTTACCACAATCCTCTCCAAGTGCTGTGGGTCTACCTCTGAGGACTGCATGGCCAAGGAGGTAAGAGAATCCCCATCATCATTGTTGTTGTCGCCGTCATCATCATCATCATCATCATCATCATGTGCCACACACTAAGTGGCAAGCACTCCTCTAAGCTGCTTTTTACCTGTATCATCTCAATGATACCTACATATATCCTATGAAACTTAAATACATTAAATCCACTTTACAGATGAGAAAACAGAATAGTAGCAAGGGTCAATAATTAAAGTCACACATCTGGTAAGTAGCAAAGTCCAAACACAAAGACAAGGTTATCTGAGTCCCAAGAACTTAGTGCACCTGCAGAGCCTGGTACCACATCACTAGCCACATATAGTTATTTAAGTTAATTATTATTAAACTAATGACATTTAAACTTCAGTTCTGCAGTCACACTAGCCCCCATTTCAAATGCTCACTAGTATTATACAGATACAGATAATTTTCATCATCATATAGTAAAGTTCCATTAGACAATACTGCAACCATTGCACTATTAGAAATTATTATTGTTCTTATTATAACTGTCAGAATTTGATGGTCAGTTCAGTTTTTTCCACCGTTTTTCATTTGCACAATACTTTCAAGTAGATATGAGTTTGAACAGTTATTTTAGATAAAATCACTCTCATTTATCTAAAGTCTATGGATCTCTTCAGGAACAGCAATATTGTGCTGCCTGGTCTTTTCCCATTAAGAATATGTGTCTGTGTTAATGGGTCTTTTCTATAACCTGACTTATAATGGCTAAGTCATTAATAGGTCTCTCTCTCTCTCTCTCTCTCTCTCCTTTCCTTTCCTCCTTCTCAATATATCTATATAAAATATACTACATTGATCTTCTAGGTATACTTTACTTATATCTAACTAGTCCTCTATTATTGGGTTTAGGTGTTTGAGGTTTTTTGTATTTTAAGTGACTCTGTCCTTAAGAGTCTTATAACTAAATGTTCTCTTCACCATAATTGTTTTCTGAGGATAAATTCTTGGAAGTTAAATTGTACATTTTAAGGCTTTTAGTACACAGTGACAAATTTCCCTCCAAAAATATTATACCAATTTACTTTCTAAGAGCATTCCCACTGACTTTTTTATACCCACTGCCAATGCTGGTAAGGCTGTGTTAACCTTCCTTACTTTGGATCTACCAGAAAACTAACAATGCACAAAAATCACAATTGCTTTTGTAGTTGCCTGAACACACAGTAAAAATCTGTGACAACTTATCCACAAAGAATGATAAGTTTAGGGACTGTTGTCAAGAAAGAACACCCATGGACATATTTATGTGTGTCTACTTCACGCCAGCTACTCAGCCGCCAGAGCTGCCAGAAGTTGCGTTGCCCACAAGTAAAGATGTGTGTGGCAAGGGAAACACCAAAGCCATGGACAGGTAAGTAGAGATGATCTATTATCTCCTTGACAGTATGGATATTCACTGGCATTAAATGACAAAGAAACTAGATGGGGAAGAAATGGTAAACCTTTACCTGGCATCACTAAGGAAAGAATTAAAATAAATACACCATGAGTTGCATATACTATGAATAGTATATGCACATTCATGGCATAAATTTCACAAGTAGGTCAAATTGCCAGAAAAACATTTATCAATATCAGAGGGCAGAATTTAGACTGCACTGAAAATCTATACTTATCAAAATACTCATTGTTTTTATAAATACAGAGACAGCAATGGGATAAGATAATCAAAGAAATTTATGGAAATCTATTTTCACAGAATAGCCACATAAAGTACCTACTTGATGCTTTATATAGAATTAATTGTGATATAGTTACACAAAGGACAGTTCCATATGCATTTGATGCTTTAGATAGAATTGTGTTATAGTTACACATGGACAATTCCATATGCATTTGAAGTAGATATATATATATAATGTAGTATGTGACTATAGATATAGTACAGACAGAGCTTTAGTTCAGTATTAACTAGTCACAATAACTTTAAAGCAACTATTAATAATTTGTATTTCAATGAGAATATTGTTTTGAACCCTAAACTTGCTCATTTGCATTCTGTTTTAGCTAAACCTTTGATTTTTAATTAAATATGCAGAAACCAGGTGCTCTGCCTTTGTTATAGATGCAAATTTCAAAACATGATACATATTCACAAGTATACCCATGCATGTTAAAGTGCATCTTCTTTCTCTCTCATGCCAGGTATACATTTGAACTATCTAGGAGAACTGACGTCCCAGAAGTATTTCTCAGTAAAATACTTGAGCCAACCTTCAAAACCCTGGGAGAATGCTGTGACTCTAAAGACCCTGCAGTCTGTTTTGATGCTAAGGTGCAGTTTGCTAAATTTCAACAATCCGGTCTAATTCAAGCTGTTGGCAAACTGGAGCTTAGGGGCCACAGTTAGACTGTTGCCTGTTTTTGTATGGCCTGTGAGCTAAAATGGTCTTACATTTTTAATGGCTTTAAAAAACGATTAGCATTTCATGACATTAAAATTATATGGAATTCAAATTTCAATGTTCATACATAAACATGCTCACTGTTTATGCATTGTTTGTGATTGTTTTGTGCCATAACAACAGAGTTGAATAGTTACAACAGAAACTATATATGGCCTACAAAGCCTAAAATGTTTACGACTGGGCCTCATACAGAAAATATTTGCCAATGTCTGGTATAGATTAAACACTCTTACTGACAGGTTACATGGAATTCTGATTTTGCGCCTCCTGGAACAGGGTTAAGATAAAAATTTTTGTGTAATTATTATTTTCTTACAGGTTCCACAACTGAAGGAGGAACTATCTTCTTTCATTGACAAGGGACATGAACTATGTGCTGATTATTCAGAGAACACATTTACTGAGTACAAGAAAAAGTAAGGGTCTAGTTCTACTTGTGTGCCCCAAATTTATCAATATAACCTGTTATTGTAGTTTGAAAGCATATGGAAGACTTAAGATGTGCTAAGTGAGCAATAAAAAGAGGAGGTTCAATTAAAATAGTTTGTTTTAAAAAGTAATTAGAATCTATTATCTGTGTAAGCAACAGCTATTTTGGTGGGGGCTGGGGGGAGTTACATATATCAGCTTAGAACACCGCCAAAAATGAATAAATTACAAGACATGTAATGACTTGATTAAGAAAACAAAATTGCCCTGACCAGTTTGGCTCAGTGGCTAGAGCATCGGCCTGTGGACCGAGGGGTCCCGGGTTCGATTCCAGTCAAGGGCATGTACCTTGGTTGCGGGCACATCCCCAGTGGGAGGTGTGTGGGAGGCAGCTGATCGATGTTTTTCTCTCATCGATGTTTCTAACTCTCTATTCCTCTCCCTTTCCTCTCTGTGAAAAACCAATAAAACATATTTTTTAAAAAAAGAAAACAAAATTAACTTTGTTAACATTGTTGCCCTAAAACAATCTGTAAATTTTCCTATATATAAGAAACTATAAAACTGTTGGAAAATGTTATCTAACTTAAAACTATTTTGTCTGACAAGAGGACCCAAATTTTCAATTAAGTATAGTATTACCCATCACCAGTATGTAGTCTCTATAAATTGTAAATATACCTGTTAATCAATCATTCATAATGTACAGTAGTCATTTTTCTCCATTAAGAGGAGAAGGCATTTCTTTACAAGTAGGTTTTTTACGTTAAAATAAGGAGCCATAATAATGAAAGCAGTTTTACTGGGTTCCTGGAAAATGTCTCTGCTGAGAAGACACTGTCATTCTGTTTCATTAAGTCAGCAGTTCTCAACCTGTGGGTTGGGACCCCTTTGGTGGTCGAACAACCCTTTCACAGGGGTCACCTAAGACCATCCTGCATATCAGATATTTACATTATGATTCATAACAGTAGCAACATTACAGTTATGAAGTAGCAACGAAAATAATTTTATGATTGGGTCACAACATGAGGAACTGTATTTAAAGGGCCAGAAAGTTGAGAGCCACTGCATTAAGTAGATGCCTTAGATCTGTTTCACAGCATCTTGAACAACACAGGCCTCAAGTCAGCACAAATAAACTCCACAAAAAGACCTTCCAAAAGAATTCCCAGAGCTGGACACCTCCTTCAATGACCCCCATGAAATCAGCCTTAGCAAAGCTGTAATAGAAAACATAAAAACAGGGAAAGCCTTAGGTGCAAAATTATTTAACATTTTATCAGAAAATTATATAATAGAATAATATGAAGATAGCATAGAATAATGTTAAGCAGATAGTGCAAGATTAAGTTTTTCCCAACAGTTTTGAGCACCAGGTTTGCCTGGGGCAATTGAGTGATAATTTATATAATCTTAATTCCATATGAACATGTCCTAGAATTGAATTTAAGATTGTGAAATTAGAGAAGATTGGGGCTATTCCATCTAAGTATTTGAAATCCTTACTTTTTTCTCCCACCCTCTGAGTTCCTTCTGGTCTCGCTTGCCTTTCCTTCCAACTGGAACCGACTCGTTTCAATAATGCTTTCAGGAGCAGACTAGTCCCCTGACCCTCTTATCCCTTCCCAGCATTCATCTTGCCAAGCCCAACCCCAACTCCAACTGGAGATAAATTTGGGTCTCTTCCACCTCCCATTGCCTACTACTGGGCTGGCAAATATTCCTGGAGAAAGTCATAAAACCAGGCTGAGTGTCCACCATGAGGGTAGAGTGACCAAGATCGTAGACAGTTCAAACTGGGAAAGAATCAAGTGAATACAAGCCCTATACCACCTTGGCAGTGAGATGGAGAGCTGGCCAATAGCAGAACCGAAAACAAGAGCCAAAGATTCCTGACCTTGTTTTCCAGTCTAGTTGGTGAGGCAAACTGAGGGGGAATTTGTTCAAAATAGGAGAGAAGAAAAAACGCATTATAGTGGCATGAATTTCTATAAGGGAAATGTCCTTGCAGGAGCTTGAAACTTAGAAGTGGAGAGAAGATGAAAGGTTAAGGAAAGCAATGAAGTTATCCACGATGATGTAATTGAAGGTACAAAAGGGGGAAAGCTGGAATTCAAGGCAGCAGCAGTTTGTGCGTTTACTTTCTCGGTCTTAAAAGAGGCACAGATTTTACTGTCTAATCTCAAATTGAGTCATTAAAGATAGTTCCCCAAATAGAAACATAATTTTCTTGAGAGGACCAAGTACTTCTATTCTCATTTTTTATTGTACCAGATCGTAAGTGGCTAGCTTTTGCATTAGAAACCTTTATAGAATACATCTAGTAAAACCTTACCAAAAAATGGTCTTTCAGGCTGACAGAACGATTGAGAGCAAAACTGCCAGATGCCCCAGACACGGAACTGGAAGAACTGGTTGAGAAGCGCTCAGATTTTGCCTCTAAGTGCTGTTCCATCAACTCCCCTCCTCTCTACTGTGATGCTAAGGTAAGAAGATTTGATAATCCATTATTCCTGCACAGTTTTCAAAGACTCCTGCACTCAGATTTACTCATTTATTTTTGTGATTGAAATGTCATTGTGTATTTTCCTGGTGCTGTGATAACTTCGTTGTATTTACAATGAAAGAAAAATGACTGTTTTCATGCTATGCTAATTCAAAAGCAAATTGAGGGAGTTGCAAAACTTAGGAAATTTTACACTTTTAAAGGAAAAAAGTGAGATTACAGACAGCAAAGAGCAGTGTTTTTCAAATTGTGGATTGTAACCTAGTAACAGCTTTTTTAAATGAAAGAAGAAAAAAAGAAGACA